TATATATATATATATATATATATATATATATATATATATATATATATATATATATATATATATATATATATATATATATATATATATATATATATATATATATATATATATATGTATATCAAGACATATGAGAGCGAACAAATATATATGATCCAGTAATATATGTATCATTACATACCTGTTTAATTGTCCCTCAGTGAGTCTTTTGGGCCAGACATTTCATGTAAATTATGCATTCTACAACTTTATCTCGAAACAGTGATCCGCCGATGACATAATTAAACTAGGTTCTTATATACCTAAGACGATCATTTTAGACAGTTATGATGAAACACGTTAAGTTTGAGGACCCGCCAATCTCAGAAAAAGGGATGTCAAGTATCCCGTGTAAATCGAATGATAAAGATTGTCTTTATTTTGGGAATTTATAATAAGGCTTTTGTACTGCTGCAAATTAGCTTTAGCTATACAATAATGAATGGATATAGGAATTTTGTTACACAGGATTTTAACATATTTAGGTCACAAGAGTGTTACGTTTTTTACATGTTACAAATGGAAGATTCCGATTTGCCTGTTTATACGTGGCTTGAGAGCTGATTTACTTCCCTGACAACACCTCTAGCGGTGTTTCTTCCTGGATTTTCTCTTTACACTTAAAGTTACACTGAGAGCAACTGCAAAACAGACACACAAACACGTCTACTAACTTCGATAAATTTACGGTTCATTTCGCTACACCTTTACTTATTTTGTCTGCGATATCATCATTGACGCAAATATACATGCCTGCATTACTTTGACTGAAGGAAAACACATTTTCTCAGCTTTTTGCCACTTCCTTATGCTATAATGAATCGAATTCATAGCTATTGTGTTTTCTACTATATAGTCACAGTCATATTCCTTTCCTAGTAAAACCAGAGATTAGCTCTCGTAAAGTTGGATAAATTTTATAAGAAGGAGGAAATAGGTATAGGAATAATCACCAGTGGTCAGTCTTGAATCCAAATTACATCGATAATAGTACAACTTTACCAAATGTTGATGCCTTCCAAAAATCCACCCTGTACAAAACTATAATTAATAAACACTTGTTTTTCAGGGAATGTGACCTAATGTTTAAATATCTTTCTGCATAATGTCTTGCAACAAATCTATTACATCTTCTTGTATAGGCGGAATTCGTATGGAATAAATTCAGAAACAATATATTAAGTAGTCTTGAAGTACAGAACAAAAAAAGTATTTATATTTATTTTACTTGTAGTTTCGAAATAACCCTTTCAAATTAAGCTTGAAGACTTCATTAGTTCCTTGCTAATTGGCCTTAAAACTGTAAACATTAAGCAAATAAATGGAGAAATTTAAACTTAGCGTAGTGATCGAAAATTGATTAAACAAAATTGTAAATTAAAATTGAACAAAAGTTAATAAGCTTATTTTCCATCTACCAAAGCATCCAACCCATCTTGCATACTTAAAGTGTCTTTACGATTCACGACTGATTCGTTTATCGACGTTTTCCTCCTCCTGAATATATTCATTACTGATAAATATTATGCTGGAAAAGTTGGTGGTTTCATGGGTTACAAAGATTAAATATTTGTTCTATTAGTATAGATTTGGATATGTATGGATAACACAAGATACTGGCTATGAAAAATTATTTCTTTCAGAATTCATACAATGATTAGAGATTCGAAATTTCACAGTTTTTCAGAGCATGTTATTAATTACTCAGAAAGTTAATACTATAGTCTGTATAAATCCTTGCTACAGTGGAAGAAATACCTGACATGTAATACAATTTAAAAGAAACATTTAGTGCAACTAAGCTTGTGTTCAAGATATAAACTAATGCTAAAACAGAAAGAATGGAGAACATTGGTAAAGCATTCAGATTTGGTGGATTCTGTAGGTGAAGAAATATTTATGTAATAGAAGATACATTTTTTTAGTTTGTCCAGAGTATGGTATTATTACAAGACAATTTCTAAACAGGTATTTTAAGCACAACCAAGCGCTGAAAAATTGCATATGGCTGACAATGATGTAATGACTACTTGTACAAAACATTTGCGAGTAAAGAGTCTCATTTATCTCCATCCGAATAAAATCATGTGGAGACATTAATATTAGGAACTAAGTGAATAAATAAATCAAGAGTAGAGATTGTATCATGGGTTGGAGGATTCTGTTATTGATAGAAGGTGATTTGATTTGATTTGAAAAAATATGTTATTATTATTATTATTATTATTATTATTAATTATTATTATTATTATTATTATTATTATTATTATTATTATTATTATTATTATTATTATTATTATTAATTATTATTATTATTATTATTATTATTATTATTATTATTATTATTATTATTATTATTATTATTATTATTATTATTATTATTATTATTATTATTATTATTATTATTATAAGCGTAGGCCTGAAAAGCAGAATATCCAGTCGTCCTGTCTGTTCATCCGTCGTCAGACATTCTTTAGTAAAAAACAAGGCTTGTCCTGCACATCTCCGAGGGATCCACGTCGTGATGATGCCTAGTAAATGTTTCCTTTTTTCTGTCTCACAAATGATTATATTCTGAGTACAGTTTTTATAAACTTAAAAATAATTTCTAAGCATACACTATACATTTTAGAAGAAACTTATAATCGATCCTCTCTTAGACTACCGAATACATTGTATTTAACCATAATAAGTTGCACTAGTGTTGGTGTAGACGTATGCTATTTGTATTATTTACTAGTTAATAGCTTTTGTTAGTTTTCTGTGATTTCTCCCTGATCATGGTGAGTCAGTGTTTGGCAGATATTTCTCAAACCGAGTAGTTAGACCATTTTTTAGCAGCATACATCAAATTATACAGTATTCACAAGACGTTACGGAAGCATGAATTAGTTTCGTAAATTGGACCCTCAATAATTCAATAACGTAAAGAATTCTATGAAGATTTTAATGTATGCGCGTTTTGAGATAGGAGATAGGAATGATTCCTTGTATAAAAGTGCTTGGCTCGTTTCTCGTTTTCCATCACTTGAAATATTAATATTCGCCTTGGAAAGGCTTACTAATGAGCCATACAAATGTGAAATTAAAAAACCCCAATGAAGTGTGAGCTTATTAGAATTTCATGGTGTATGGTGACTAGGAAAAACCTTATTATTAGTGTCTGTATATTTATTAACCCTTCCATGAACAACAAATGTTGTCTAGAGAGGTCTTTAATAATAGGGACAACATAGAATCAAGCCAGGCGCACGCAGAAGCCAAGTAATGAGCCCCTTCTTCCTATCTTTTGCGTGCAACAATACATCCTATCGGCACTAAAAGTCCATCTTATTTACACAGTTATCAGTATCCCACCCACTCCTTACATATAACTGACATTTAGCTAAGTCACTGTATGTATGTATGTATGTATGTATGTATGTATGTATGTATGTATGTATGTATGTATGTATGTATGTATGTATGTATGTATGTATGTATGTATGTATGTATGTATGTATGTATGTATGTATGTATGTATGTATGTCTGTCTGTCTGTCTGTCTGTCTGTCTGTCGGTCTGTCTGTCTGTCTGTCTGTCTGTCTGTCTGTCTGTCTGTCTGTATGTACGTACGTACGCTCGCATGTATGTATGTATGTATACATTTTTCATTTAGACCACGTGGACATCGTTTCAAATTGATTCCTTAAGTACTGGCATCTATTAGTTCTCAGCAACGCACTGTAACATAAATGGCTCTTTATCAACTAACTCATTCAGTTTATATTTATTATTTATACTTATACTTCTCATAAAATAATTAATGTAGAATATTTTGTTTTTAATTTAAACCTTGCATAAATTACTTATGCATAGCATAAAGTTATGAAACTATTCAAGATACAGTCTTATTTATTCCGGATAGATTTAAAAGAAACTAAGAATGCATCTATGTATTGTAATAAATCATGGGTATGTGATATTACATCGTAGTTAATAGGTTTTGTAAGATTTTAGTGATTGTTGATTATGGGGAGTCGGTGCTGGGGAGATATTTCGCAACCCGAGTAATCAGCCGATTTCAAGGAGCAGACGTCGTGGTGTTCACGAGTTTCATGAATAATTGGATTAGTTTCGTAAAAAAAGAACTCACTACAAGTTCCAAACATAGGGAATTATTTGTACATTATGAGTGTTTAGTAATTTGCGAGATGAATACTTTTTTTCATTGAATGTTAGGGTCACGTTTTTATTGTATGGCGTGAAGTATTAATATTTGGATCAGAAACGCTTAATCGAATCAAACAAATGTGAAACGAGAGAAAACTTGAAGTGTGCAATTAGAGTTTAGTGAGGATTTTTTAAAGTAGTATTTGCGCATATAACAACATGTTAATTGATAGATAATCACCGTTGTTTCATTTTCCTTAGATATAGAGGAAAATATCTTTGCTAGGCCAGTTGTCTGGGATCTAGACGATTGGTCTTAGACCAGGTATATAAAACACATTGTATGCTAGGGATACCCATATGGCTGCCAGACTGGAGTAGATTTGACTATAATTTACGATATATAATTGATAGGTAGATACACAGCCACATAAATATATACATATATACGTTGATAGATAGATCGATATATAGATAGGCAGATAGATCCACTTCCTTATCCTCCAAGAGGCTATATTGATATTGTAATCTAAATATAGAAATAGTAAAGATATCTAAATAATAACTTATCATTTATTACTAGGATATATCCGTTAAATTGATAAAAAGTAAATGCTTGTTAGCTAACCATTAAGCAACGAGGTCAATAAAAGCCACAACATTTTCTATTAATTTTTATTTAAAAGTAGTATAGCAGATGCTACTTTCCAATATACAAACAAGTCCAACGATCAGCCAATCTATTTTGATTTGTACACATGCAACGTGTTCAGAAGTAGTAGTTGTATAGTAGAAGTTTAAACCTTCAGTTATTGATCGTTGGTTTAGTGGTTAGAGCGTCCGCCTAGAATGCGGGATGTTGTGGGTTCGATCACCGGTCGAGTCATACCAAAGACTTACAAAAATGGTACTAACAGTTGCCTCGCTTGACGATCAGCATTAAGAGGTTAGTGTTAGGACTGGTCAGCTTGGTGTCAGGATAATGTGACTGCGTGGGTCATCATGCTACATGTCTGCGGCATGATGATCCAGTGCTAGACATCACTATAAACTGCCACACCGCAGACATCATAGAGATATGACTGAAAAATTGTTAAAGCTACATTAAAATTCATAATCACATCACATCGCATCACGTTGATCATGGTCCGCTCTTATGTTATCACATTACTTTACCTTTTCATACACAAGCACATGCAGCATGGTGATTTCCAGTGCACATATAACACAGGTCCAGGCCGCATCACTACCCTCCGCGTGAGTACGCTTGAGAAGACTTGGCAAGAGCCCCACATTGAAGTTTTATTCAGCTTAGTAATTCCCAGAATATCATCAATGTATTAACCCGTTTTGTAGAGGACGCAATAATAAAAAAAAACAAATTGTTCCTTCGTACTAATAAATCTCAGATAGGGTAAGACATGTTTTATACTTAGGTCCCCAACAGTCCAATAAACATCGTCGAAGAGAGAAGCTTCATTATTATTGATATTGGATGTGCTAATTTAATAATGTGTGATAGAGACCTGCCATACCAGACACCGGGTGCGATAATGATTGATAAAAGTGTGCGTGACAGCTTGCGAGAGCTTTAATTTTGATTAAACAACACATGTAGATTATAATCATCACTATGGCGGGAGGTAATTGTACTAGACAAAAATGACACTTCGTAAAGGATTCGTTTTACATTGGTAACTATGCAGGAGGGTATCGCGCATTTTTTCATCAACGTTGTTAAGTTTATTTATGAATTTTTTCTCCTACATACTAGAACAAAGCAGTGGCCTAATCGGTTTGTTAGCTGTACTTTAGATTGAGTTTTTTATGAATTGAAGAAACGGTCGAATTTGTTTTGAGTTGCACTTGGAATATAATGTCAAGTCGGAGGATGAACTATTAATGTAGATTAAAGATAGGAGCCATGCGTATGTCTTTGATATGCGGTCAAGTTTGAAACAACTTGAGTTGTCTATGATATCATTTAATACCCTACAGACTCAAACCGCCATATTCAGCACTGAGTAGAACGCATCCATTGATATTAAGATAAAACCTTAAAACATATAATGTTTTGAATGCTTTAGATAACAGTGGGACTATAAAGAACAAGGATATACAATCGACAAAATCATATGTTGTGTTATTAAACGAAATAATTGCAGCAAATAATATATAATGCAGAAAGCACCATCGTCTGACAACCACAATATCGTGGAAGATTTGATTATCGCTGCTCATGCGGAAATAAATTATCCAGGCATATATGCTTTGAAAACGTTACAGAAGAGGGCAATGTTGTTGAGAAAGTATGCCTAATATTGGTGTGCCAAAGAGGCCAATGAAATAATGTATAAATTTTCAAGCATTTATCCAGAACATATTTAAAATTTAGTCAGGTTATTGATAGCTTTGGAAAACTAACATAACTGAATTCAAAAGCGATAAATGTCATTTCGTGATATTGAACACGAAAATTCAATTCATTGATGGAGACTCGATTTCGCTCATTAGACAGTCAAGATGGAGTAACATAATTTAAACCGAGTTTGTTTTGGATTAAATGAACAACACAAACACAATGTATGCAGTGGACGATGGCAAATTATAGAAAGAATTACTAAGATATATATATATATATATATATATATATATATATATATATATATATATATATATATATATATATATATATATATATATATATTGCAAAGAGTAGACATTGAAAAAATATAAATAAGATTTATAGAATCTTAAGTATGAAAGGTGACATCCAAATATCCTCAAGGACTGTAAGCACGTTTCCACTAATATTATGCAACAGAAGCACCATCTCACGAATGGACTTTCATTAAGAGTCAAATAATCTCAAAGAATTAAAATATGCTTCGAAATATATGCACTGAAGGTGAGATTCACATAATCTCCTACAGTATGCACTGAACAGCTACAGCCAGGCCTATATAACTACCATCAGCCCTACACAGTCCTATGGACAGGTATACACATACGTACAGACAGTACGCCGCACTAAGGACAGTTACACTCGGCCCTAAACAGCTACAATAAAACCAAACTGGTCATAATAATTGGTCCTGAATTCAATTGTAGATATATTTCAGTAAACTAAACTCCAATAGCAACTTGTAATTCAAAATCACAACGTTTCAAATCTGAAGTAGTAAAGTCTTCATTACCCGATATGACATTAAAACAAGAATAGGCTTCACATATAAAAATATAAATTTAACACTTACAACTATTGCTGGAGAACATAATGGAGAATGTTCATTCCTTGACAAAATCCAAATGACCAGTTCGTCAGTTTGAAATTAAATCAACCTTAGATCCATGAGAGAGGGGATATTAGTCAGGGTAAAATACTCATGCATACCATGCTTTTCGTGACTCTCGTTACATGTAGTTTCCGACGAAAACAAAAGCTGGTAGAGTCGCTTACCTGGGGAAAAAATTATTCATCCCAGGTAACGATGTACGCATGCACAACGAATAATGGTCAAAAACAGATCTAAGGCAAAACCAAGTTCTTTCTTGCCTTATTCTGTGACAGATTATACAGCTAGCAAATTAGTGTGTAATCTCAGTAAAGATTGTAATGACATCAATGACATCAAATTATATCAAATATACCATAGAGTGATGATGGTGATCACAACAAGAATCACCAGTTGCAAATCAATTAGATAATGCATTTTTCCTGTAATATATAAATGACAGCCACAATCGTCAAATTTAAGATGCTATACAAATTGAAGTACAGTGCTGTAGCGATGGGGGAGCGCATATCATAAGTGAAGTTCTTTGAAGTGCTTCCAAGTCCAATGAAGCAAAATATACAGCTGATATACGCAAGCAATCTTGGACGCTTTATGTTATTGGATTCAACTGTGCAAAATCTGGTCGTGCTCGAGTTGCTGCCTGTTCCCGTTGAAACAGAGTGGTCATTACATCAAGTTCCCTCTAGAAAGTCTTTCTGGTGTATAAGTAGATATGCTCATCCACTGGCTATGTATACAGATGTCAAGACTTGCGTGTAGAGCTCAAGATATCAGCTCAGGTGCAAGTAGGAATAGTGCTCATCTACTGCATATCGACTTGTATACAAACACCTTAACATTGTCTTGTCGCAGGATTCAAACACTTCAAGGCAACCAATCTGTGAGATACAGTTGCATAATTGCACACAGGCAGATCACTCGATTGAACAGCAGCTGGAGATCAATTGGCCTATTTAGGATTACACTGTTCTCGTTCAGAAGTGGCTAGGAAAGGTGTGATAATAGATATGTTAGACTGGAGCCTTTCAGTGAAATGTGGCATAGACAACAAATTTTGTGTTTAATTCTGGATCGAATGGATAGCAAGTGTAGGGTAGAGAGCAGTGGAGAGGCGTGCTCTGATCATGGTACTCTAAGGATGACCCTTGAAGCTGTGGTTTGAAATTTTTGAAGCTTCTGGAATAGATATTGAGATGAATCAGACAGAATTGAGTTGCAATAGTCCAGTCTTGAAAGCATTAAGGAATATACAAGTGTTTTAGTGACTTAAACTGAAAGATACTTGCAAATGGACCTGATGTGTCTCAGCTCAAGATATGAAGCGTTGCATATCTTCATGATATTTTGGTGCAGTGAGTGAGTACTGTCAAGAGTAACACTGAGGTTTCGTACTGACTGTGAAATTAATGTTTGTGTTGCTGATATATATTGTCTGCGGTAAAGGATGTGAATGAGATAGTCTTTGTGTAATAATCAGAATGGCTTCAGTTTTATCATCATTTATCTACTGGTTGGTAATGTCATCCATTATTTCACATCGGAAATGCACTTCTCTACGCCTTGGATGGTAGCTTTGTCTTCATTTGAATGGCTAGATTCGTATATTTGTGTGTCATCAGCATACATTTGGTAAGACACTGGATGATGATTTATGACACTTGAGAGTAGCTGAGTATATAGAAATTATATCTTATTCTTGACTTAAATATAGTTTTGGGATCAGGGGTCTGATAAAGAATTTTCAGATAGATCATCAACGGTGGTGTGAAATGCAAAATTGCATTTGGCCTTGGTGCTGCTTGAGCATCCTTAGCCAATGAAGTTCTGTGGCACATTTACCTACCTGTGCCAAGACAAAATTCACTTGGATGGTTTGATGTTCAGGTACCTAATCAATTGCATTAGGCTGTGCATACAATCTGTCATTTTCTCTAAATAAAATAAAAATACAAGCAGATAATCAAAGATATATATCTTATCTTTAAGAATATGGTCTGGCCAGTCGTTGTTTATACATAGTTAATTATCTTCAACCTTTGGTAATTGAATTGTGTCGGGAGTGTAGAGTTTTCAGTGTGTGTGTGGGGGAAGGGGTAGAGGTCGAGCTGTTAATAATTATGTATCGAACAGGAGCTTTTCAGGCCCAATCATCAGCGGTTATTTTGTAATTTTAAGATTTATTTGGGTCAATTCTGATCTGATGTTGTAGATAAATAGTATATGTTTAATATACCATCTCTAATTCATGCACAATATGTAACGCAAAATTTATTTACTTCTATCAGGTGGCTTTAGTGGCGCCCATGAAAGTTTCTTTTCAAACAAAAAATTCAGACTGCATTATTTTATATTGAATCAATAGATTGGTTATCAGCCCCCAAACTATATTATATATATATATATATATATATATATATATATATATATATATATATATATATATATATATATATATATATATATATATATATATATATATATATATATATATATATATATATATATATATATATACTGTTAAAAAGATCTGCACGACTTCTGGAGTGTTTATGTATGAAAAGGAAGTACACAAATTGTTATTCTGTGGCAAATAT